TATATATATATATATATATATATATATATATATATATATAGATCTATATCATAATCCATTTGTTGAGGAATTCTTTTTACCACAAATAATATTTGAGCCAACAAAGAAGAAGGTTGAAGAAGGCGATTTCGAAATATATCTTAGCGCATTTCAAAACTCGAGGGCAAGTTTTTTTCAACCAGGGAAGAATAATAATGGATGAAATTATTATAATTCTTAATTTTTGTTTAATATCAAAACATGTATATTTTAATTTTAGTTTTAAGGTCTTTCTAGGGTTTGTAAAAGGTTTAGGGATTCTAAGGTTTTTTCGTATGTTTTATTTACTATTCAGTGGTTACTATTCATAGGTATTGTTCATGGGTTACTATTTATAGGGGTATTTATGAAATTTTAGTATTCTTTTGGGGTTTGTTTATTTGATGAAAGTTAACTTTTATATTGCTGTACCGTGTTATAATACATAAAGGAAAGAGAACCGAGAGAACCCACAGGTCGGGTCTCTCGGTCAAAACCTGCCTGGTTACAAAAGAAATACTTGTGTGTTACAAAAAATGGGGCTAATAGAGTTGCCCAATTACAAAATCTATAGATGTGTGTAGCTAAGTGCCTAAACGCCCTCTGTGGTCCAGAGCAAAAAAGGAGATGGACTGGGTGAGGTCTTCAGCATGGTCTCTAGCTTCATCTTTTACAAGAAGATCGGCGAACAGTTGGACGTCCGCCAAGTATGCTTTCATAAGATGTTCATATCCCTGCATATGTTAGCAATATCATAAAAAAATCGAGGAGAGGTACCAAGGGTGTGGTGAGGTGCCTGCTGCCCAAGAGATGATATTTTGGGCATCTCCTTCCACCAATAGTTGTGAGCCCCAAGAAAGGTTAAAATTTTTAAGACCCATGAGAAGAGCCATGGCTTCAGCATATTGGGAGTCTTCATGGCCCAAGTGTTCAGAATAAGTGAAGAGGATATTGCGATGATGGTCACGGAAAACACCTCCGGCTCCAGCAAGGCCAAGGTTCCCCAGCGAACAACCATCGAAATTGAGCTTAATGGCACCTTCTGGAGAAGGCAGCCAGTTGTTGGGTCTTTGAAGCTTCTGTGGCTGGAGATATAGGATGTTCCATTGGCTGAGAATGGTGTTGGCAGAAATCCTCAAGAAGGCCTTGTGGTTAGAGGCCCAGAAAGTTACTAAGGTAGTAACCTTATGGAAGAGCGCCGAAGCTAAGTTTTTGTGACCTTGGAAGATCCTTGCGTTCCTTTCTAACCAAATGACCCAAATAGTTGTTGCGACGGTAGCCTTCCACATACTCTGCCTGCCTTTAGCCAATGACAGGCATAGGAGGATGCGATTAGAGCCCTGACTGAGAGTGGAGTGACCCATTGAAGGCGGAACAACTGTAGAACTTGGCTCCACAGGTCAAAAGCTAGACTACAGTGAATGAAAAGGCGTGGATTCCATTCCTCCTCACTCATGCACATTGTGCATCTATTGGGGATCGGAATTCCTCTCTTTTGAAGCTGGTCAACTGTGAGAGCCCATTGGGAAGTGGCAATCCAATTGAAAGTCCGTACTTTTGGAGGCGCTATGGTGGACCAGACCTTAGAAAGGGACAAAAATAGGGCTAAGTAGGAAAGTGGGGGGTTGAATGAGTCTTTTGAAGAATGAGGCCACTGAGAATGTACCGAATGGAGTAAAGGTCCAGACAAGAGAGTCCCTCCCAAGTGGAGCTAGGAAGTAAGGGTGCAAAGCTGCCGAGAGTGAAAGGAAGAGTCTAGTTTCCTCTTCAGTGAGGTTTCTTCTGAAAGTGGGGTTCCAGCCTCTTCGGCCCCCTGAAAGGACCATTTCTTCTGCTATGGTTGAGTCTTGATTAGAGGTAAGATGATAAAGGGATGGGAAGAGGTCCGTTAGAGGAGTGTGTCCAACCCAAGGGTTGGACCAAAAACGCACTCTTGTACCTTTTCTAGGATGAAATCAAATGGTTTGTTTGAACAATGAGAGAGAAGAGGCAAAGGACTTCCATGCTCCTGAGGCCCTACTCAAGAAATCCTTTCAAGCACCCACATATGTTCTAGGTTCCTGTATTTGCTGTGAATAACCTAAGCCCATAGAGAATTAGTCTGAGTGGCTAAGTGCCACCACCATTTCCCTAGTAGAGCGAGGTTATGTTTTCTTAGGTCCTTGATTCTAAGCCCTCCTTGAGACTTGGGTAGTCGGACTTTCTCCCAAGAGATAAGGTGATGTCTGGTTTTTTCAGCCTGTCCAGACCAGAGGAACTTCCTCATAAACTGGTCCAGACGATTGGCCACTGAGGCTGGCATGTGGAAGATAGACATTAAGTACACCGGAGCATTAGCCAGTGTTGCTTTGACCAGCTTAGTATGGCCAGCTAGGGAGAGGTATCTCCCTTTCCAACCTGCCAGACGCCTGTCGACTCTGTCTATGACTTGGGACCACAATCTCTTTTTGGGCTTTCCCAATCCCAATGGTATACCCAGGTTGGTGGTGGGGAAATCCTTCACTTTATAATCCCAATTTGGGACGAGTGCGTTGATTTCGTCATTTGTAAGTCCCACCCCCATCATCTTCGATTTATCCATATTGACCTTGAAGCTTGTGGCAGTCTCGAAGCATTTGAGGAAGAGTCTCGAAGCATTTGAGGAAGAGCCTCAAATTTTCAATTTCTTCTGGGGAGGCGTCTAAGAATACCAAGTTGTCATCTGCGTATTGCAGATGAGGCACCTTTGGGCCTTGTGGGCTGCATTTAAAGGCAGTGAGGAGGCCTTATTAGTACATTCGAGAGATTGAGAGGCTAAAGACTTCTGCAGCTATCGCATAAAGAAATGGGGACAGAGGGTCCCCTTGGCGAAGCCTCCTCGAGGAAGGAAAGAACCCTTTAGGCGTTCCGTTATATGCTCTCATAAAGAATAGGATTTTCCTAGTTTTCCATGTTGTGAGACAAGGTCAAGGATCCGTGTGCTATTGATGAAGGAGACCTGGAATAGGGTGTATCAAGTCCTAAAGGGCATGGCATTTCTTAAAAAAATGGTCTACCCAGTGCCTAGGCAAAGGCTGCCTCGTCTAGGCCTAGGTGGGCCTTCCTGGACGGAAGTCCTTAGGGCATAAAAATAGTAGATCTTTTTTTTTCTTGTGGGACCATTTAGGGTCATTTTGGCCAGTGAAAGTGGGTACTCCAACCCCTCATAGTAAGGGGAGAAAAAAATCTTCCTATGCTTTAGAAATGCCCAAAACTGATGGATTATGAGATATTTAAGGAACAATAAAATTTTGAGAAGTTCATAGAAACCATCTGAAACCGTACCACATCTCATTCTAATCAATTCTAAGGTCCAAATGAGGTTCTTAAAAGACTCTTGGGAAAATTTTGAGCTTGTTAAACAACCGAAAAAAAGACGACAAAACAACCAACATATTGAATAATTTAAGATCGCCTCTTTCCTTTCACTTGTATGGCATTTTTGTACATCATCATTTTGTATTGGTCATTTGGTCTCATTGTAAACTAGGAGTCTATAAGTATGACTGTGAACTATGGACTACAAAGTATGGTGGATGGACATTAAAGAAGCAAAATTTTCAGTGATTTGAACATGTCAATATTTACACACATATATTTGTATAAAAAAGTTAGTTTTATATATATATATATATATATATATATACATATATATGCACATTTAACACATATAGAGGCATATACCTGTGTTTGGATAGCACACCTGCCTAGACGCTGGGCATTGGAGAACCCCGTGGGCGCCTAGGAACCGCTCAACGATTGTTGAAACCTTGCTAAGGGAGTAATCTTTGGTAAGGCAATTTGGTATTCTAATGGTTCCATGTTTCTTGATTCAATCTCATGTCTTATATTAGTCTGAATGTAAGAATTGTAATGGCATGCAAGTGAAATCCTAGATTGTATTAGGGTTTATTTCTGTAAATTAATGTTGTATTTTTCGACACAGGTAAGTGTTCCAGCCAGTATGAATAAAACAAACGTGAGAAAAATTCTCAACGATATATATTCTTGCCTAGATCACATTGTCCACCTTTTATGTGAATTTCAACATGCCAATGTATAAATGTATGATCTCCTTTGTTCGATGGTTTTCCTTTGGGTTCCTTATATTACAACTTTCCTCAGTCACCTAGCAGATTCAAGGAAACTCAAATTTTTTTACAAATCCCTTTGTCATGCACAGTTAACAAAATGTATTCATACCCGGTAAAGTATCAAGTCGCAGTGTGCGTCTAATAAGTAGGGGTGGTTGAGGGAACAAGCGAAGAGTCTCTGCAATAATAAGCCGAATATACCTGACAATATGAAAATATATGCACGCGTCAAACTTTATCTATCTATTTATCTATATAGGGATTGTCTACAAAGAAAACATTACCTTCTATACAAGGAGGTCACAATCATTCTTATTTTTTATATTTCAAAACGGTTAG